TGTAGACAGTCATGACTCACAGAGTTATTTTCAGAGGATATACTTGATTTCTACATTTAAGTGTGAAAAATCACATATAAAGCCTTTAATGTCATAGTTCTTTATTTGTGTTTGCTCTTGCTTTTTAGTGTGCTTTATATTTTAATATGCAAACTCCTCACAGAAAGCCACCTGTCCAACAGGGATGCAAACCACTACACCAACTTGATTTATTTGCAATATTTTTACACATTTTGTCCCGCTCCATTTTCTGTCTCCAGAAATATGACGAGTGTAAACCCAACCTCAAGGTCTTCAACACAACACTTCCTGCACCTATAGGCTCAAATTTACAAAGATGAAAAGTTGTACTTTAGCCGCGTTGTGAACCAGAGTTCACCCATCGTGTCGTCTGGGCTGCAGATTCATGGTGTGTGAGAGCTCTTTGAGGTTATCCTGCAGGTAGGAAAGCGCCCTGGCTCACTGAGTGACGCATTTGCCCTCAGAGCGCGTAACAGTCCTTATGCAAAGCAGAGCCACTGGCCATACCTGCACACTGTGATGTTATATTTGCTGGCTTATGCAAATGACTGACCTTTCACAGAACATTTACATCAGGGTGGGAATTTTTTTTTGGATCCAGTAGCCTGTGTGTCTGGTACAGCCGGTGTGTCGGGTTTATAAAAAGAAAAAAAAACATTAAATGAAGAAGCTACACACATGACCATCGACTTGATACAGAAGCATGTAAATGATATGAGAGGTTGAAGGAAAGATGAACATTTAGAGCATTTATCATGAGCCGTGTTATTAATCAATCGTTTTAAACTAAACGTGGCTTCAGCTCTCACCATGGGCTTCTTTTAGAAACTAAGTTTTATACGGATAATATTGGTTTAATTAAATTTTCCGTGCACTTTGTGAATAATAAAAAGCCAAACGGTTACAAATGGCTGTTAATACCCCCTCTCTGCTTGCTGGTATTTATCAAACAGCCCCCACAAGCTCAATGCACAATATGTGAAGCCTATACTCTTCTTCTGGCTGTGTGATGTGTTCCTATATTGCTTATTTTATTTCAGTGATTTTTCTTTCTCTGTTTTCTTTTTTATGATTTTTGCTTTCATTTTCATTGCATTTATTTTCAAACCTTCTTGGCTATAAAGGTAAAATATATAAAGGCAGCAGCCGCAATAACCTTGTGGAGACAAATAGATCACTCCTTATTTCTTAAAGGAGCAGTCAGTAAAATATCTACTGAATGAAATGATAAAGGTATCTTACTATCTGATCATTAAGGAAACATGCTATGTTGAAGTGCTGGCTTCTCTGACAACAATGCAGCAGCCAGTATGTCCTCCTTCTAACTTTAGATTTTGCTCCTGAATGCTCTGGATTTGTTTGGACCAGAGAAGGTAGGCGCTTTTAAGGCGACCCACTACACGGCCGTTTTGGACGCCCCTTGGTTTGCCAGATATGAGAGCAGTTATCAGGTCAAACCAACAGGTGTTGCAGCGATGGCGCGGGCAAGAGAAGTGGTTATAGGTTATAAGGGATGACAAGTAAACAATGAAGCAATCTTCAGGAAGTGTTGCATATTTTGCACCGTTGAGGAGTGGAATTTAAAGAATGGTGTGCATCCATCCTTTCGTTATCTTCCACTAATCTGAGGCCGAGTCGCGGTGGCAACGGGCTGAGCAAGTTGCCCCAGCTGTCCCTCTCCCAAGCAACCTTTTTCTAGCTCCTCCTCGAGGATCCCAAGGCATTCAGAAGGGATATTCAGTATAATCCCTCCAGCACATTCTGGGTTAACCCCTGGGTCTCCTCCCAGTTGGACGTGCCTGGAAGATCCCCCCGAGGGATACGACCAGGAGGCATCCTAATCAGATGCCCAAACCACCTCAGCTGGCTCCTTTTGATGCGAAGGAGCAGCGGCTCTACTCTAAGCTCCTGTCGGATGTCCGAGCTCCTCACCCTCTCTCTGAGGCCGAGCCCAGCCACCCTTCAGAGGAAATTCATTTTGGCCGCTTGTATCCGTAATCTCATTCTTTTGGTCAGTACCCACAGCTCATGACCACAGGTGAGGGTTGGAACGTAGATCGACCAATAAATCGAGAGCTTTGCCTTCCGACTCAGCCTTCCTCTTCACCATAGTTTTACCTTTTGGGAAATTTGTTTTGAAATCAACAGATATAGCAAGAATTTAAAACTGACCGCAAACCAGCGTTTTGTAGGCGGAGTATTGAAGAGCTTCAGAGACACACCAATACACAGGTAGCGCTCGCAACAGCATACATCTGATTGGACGCAAGTATAAACCAGGCTTTACAGTGCTTTAAAGATTCAGAGCCACAAGGTAGAAATGCTAAATATCTGTGACATAACTACTTTGTTTCATCATGCATGAACAGCAGACTTAATTTCAATGCCTGGGAGTCATCCTATATGGACGCCTGTTTTTTGTTCTCCAGGGTTATGACCTGTAATGTCAAGACGATTAGCTGTGCCCCACATTGCCCCTAGAGAGCACGATAGGGGTCAAACGAAGGACAAAAACACCTGATGCATGTTTTGTATGTTTTGTCCATTTTGCATTTTGGAAATTTTAGGTCACTGAAAAAGCACCTTTTGGAAAACTCCATCCAGCTTGAATATTTTCAGAGACTCTGTTTAAAGGCCCTGAAAGCAAAGAACTAGTGGCGACGAAAACCAACGGTAGCGTCACCTCAAGTCACCTCATTTCTTGGCCAAAAAGTTGCACTTGAACACACCGCAAAGACTACAGCCGACAGCCAACCACTGCATTCGTCAACATGTCGAATCGGCCGAAAAAAGGCTGATGGGGGCGACAGGTAGCGATGGAGCCGGAAACTAGGGCGACTGCTCAACTTGGACCGACGATCTCCCTGGTGTGTCCGGGCCTTAAAGATAAAGATAAACTTTATTGATCCCCCATGTGGGAAATTTTTGAGGTGTTTTAATGTGTTTATGTGTAGAAAACAGGGTTTTGGTCTCGTGATGTCACTTTTGTTAACATGACATTAGTGCATTAGATGACGTAACCAAACTAGTAATCCTGCGATGTTGTAAATGGAATTAAAATGAAATCATTGTGTTACGGGGTTAACACAACCCCACAGCTAAAGGCTATCCTTGCGCCTAAAGCTAAGACCAGTGGGCCCGTAACTTAATGCCTCTCACCACACCCCCCTCAGGTGTGTCATCAGCACTGACCCTGCTTCTCCTCCTACCAACCACGCCTACCACTAAAGACACTGAAGTGAATCCTCCTAACGCATTATCATAACACATTGGAACAATGAGACTCAAATGAAATTATATTTGCCATGGAAATAAATCTAGTAATATCGGCGCATAAGCGATAAAATCAGCCGATACCGATAGTCACTGGATTTGCGTATATCGGCCGATATTATCATCTGGCAGATTAATCGGTCGGGCTCTAGTATAGGTGGAGGTTGGAGAGAAAATAAAGGGCACCAGGGGCAAAATGAGGTGGAGGTTGTACCTTTGTACCGTACACATTGTGTGATTGAAACTGCTTTGAACACATTACTTTTCAAGCTAACAGTTATTTTCCTTTTGAAGAACTAAAGAAAGAAATCTAGTTTAGTTTACCAAAGCTACAACTGACGATGTAAATTAGACTGTGATAGAGTTTTATTTTTAAATAGCTGCTTAATTGTACTTAAAGTGCACACTTGTAGTGTAGCTAGTTTGTTTTAGCGTAGCAGTAGTAGTTCTTCCTCAGACTGATTCAGGGAGTTTATTTATGATGAAGCTGTTTTGTGTGAGCACTCAGAAATGCTCGTCCTTTAACACATGCATCACATGTAAAGGTCAAGTGTGTGGCGCCCTGAGCGTGCCTTCACAGCACCAGTATAACAACATTAATATACTATGTGTAGCACCTTTTTTATACAGGAAGTTCAGCTCAAAGGGCTTTACAATAAGGAAGAAAAATGCACTTGAAATGAATGGCCAGGAGGACAGGATGCCATGATTAATACATCCAAAGTGAAACTAATAGACTAGAAGAGCAAAGATTAAAATAGAATGAATAACATGATGGACGAACCCTCAAAAAATACTTACAATAGTTATTTCAATAAGCTCAAAGGCCTGTGTCTATTAACTCAATGTCAATTCATCCGACCAACATTTGTTGTCTTTTTGCTCTTCTTCCTCCCTTGGTAGTGACTGTTAGTCCATCTTAAGTTGTCTATATTTTTAATATTTGCTTTAAAGGTCACATTTATGCAACATACACTTCTCCATGTTCCTCTAAGTCTAACATGTGTCTCTAGTCCGTCTACAAACCCCCCAATGAGGAGAAAAGTTCATCCTCTCCATCTTCTGCCTGTTCCACTTTTCAGAAAATGTGTGCTCTAACAGGCCGTTTGGAGATTTCCCCTTCATGACATCACAAAGGGCAGTAGCCCCTCCCCCAGGTGGGTGACACTCCCACAGCTAGGTGTTTGTTGTGCCCTCTGAGTCTGCCTTCTCACCGTAAACAATAGGACATGGAGCGAAAAAGCCTGAGTATACCCAAGCCCTTTCAGAGAGGGGGCATGGTCAAACACAGCTCATTTACATATTTAAAGATACAGACACAGAAACAGCCTGTTCAGAGCAGGGCTGGAATAGTCCTGCTTTTTCTGTAACTGGGAACCTTCAATAAAGCAGCAGGGTTACAATACATTGGGGGTGAAATACACAGGGTTGTACATAACACTACAGATTGTGACAGAGATCATGGATTAAGATTCATAGCTCTGATTAAACTAGTCGAAGGGATGTGACAAAGCTGTGGCGATTAAGTCAGTCAGTGTAGCTACAGCAGGGGGGACATGTTGCATGTGCTTTGTTGGGGAGGTGTGTCTTGACGTGCGGTCTGCCTGGCTGCATGCTGGCCTGCTATAGGCTGGTGAGCGGGGATGGTGTAGCGGAGCAGGAAATTAGAAGGCACTAGGACCCAGCGGCGTAGGAGTGAGCGAGCGGGCAGGCAGGCAGAGCGGGGCTGAGTCACTGCATGTGTCTGAGAGGCAGTCAGAAACAGAGCAGAGCCAGGGAGCAGAGGTGATCTCACACTCATCAGCACAGGATAACACAACCATGATGGGTTGACTTCGGGGGGTGGGAGAAAGGCGATTGGAGAGAGGAAGTGTGCGATCGCCACCACTTGCTCAGCCATGGAGACCAACAAAGTTCTTCATTTCGTGCCTTCGGGTAAGTGAATCCAAAGCTCTGAGATATCTGCTCCTCAGCTGAGCACGACACAGCGCTCGCTGGGAGAACCTTGGGGTTCCCTACCTAGTGAAACCTGAGAACCCCTCTGTGCATAACATCTGAGCACACCTTCACTTCCACTCTGAGGGACGGCAGATGTTTGGCTGTGCATGTCTTCCCCTGTACATACTTGGTGTTTGCTCTTTCTGTGTACTTAGGCAATGTTCTTGTTTGTGACAGAAATCCTGTTTTATTTTTTTCCAGAGGAGGAGGGGTCCTGGAAGCCCTGGTGGGCTCTCAGAAATGCAGATGTTTTTTGCCCCTGTTTTTTGTGTGTATGTGTGTGTGTGTTTTTTTTCTACACATACGCATTTGACGTTTTTCTCTTTCCTTCTTCCTCCTCTTGGATGTCTGGTATGCGACACCAAACGGGTTCCTGCATTGTGTTTCCTCCAGTTAAGGAACTGAACCTTAAAAAAACGATTGCATCAAAAAAACAAGACAAAAAAACACACAGAGAGAGAGAGCTAGTTTACCTGTCGAGCAGAGACAGCTGGAATGCAGAGAAAGCCTCATAATGCACTTTCTCATGTGTTGCACTGACGCGGCTCGTGCAAAGCGCTCGCTAGACAGAGGAGGGGAGAAACAGTGTGTAGTGAATGTGTGCATAAATTTGTGTGTTTGCGCATGTGTTTCTATGCATGAAAAATGGAGGGAAAAAAGAAGTGTGCTTCCGTTTATTGGCATCTCTGCATGTGTGTGCCTTTTTGAAATGTGTGTGTGTGTGAGAGATGGAGAAAGACAGATTAGTGTTGATGACAGCCGCAGGAGAGCGGTGACTTCCCCCTTCACCGAAAGTCCTCTGAGAGACCGGAGCCCGTTGGAAGGTGTGATGCGGCTTGCCTCCTCACTTACATTTTGTCTGGGGAAGGCAGAGTGGGATACTGCGACTGTGTGTGTGTGTGTGTGTGTGTGTGTTTGATTAAAAAAAATGAAATTTTTATGGGAACGACTTGAGCGCAGAAACACCGTCTCATCTTTAAAATTGTGTGTTTGTAGTACACAACCTCATTGTGTATGGGATCAAGTGTGAGACTACGTCAATGTTGATGAGATTTTTTTTTGTTTACATCTTCATAATTGTCAGAGTTCAGAGTCGTGCTCTCGTGAGAATTTGTGAAAGTGTGTGTTTGTGTGTGCGTGTCATGCGCCATGCACACTTATATACACTTCAGAGATGTGTGTTGGGGCGTGATGGACACTGCTGTGGCTCACCCCCCCCCCCGAACAGTCATTTGTATTCATTTGCTCCGAGCTGATTAGAAGCAGAGAGGACAGGTTTGATCCCTGCAGCAAAAACACAATTTGTTTTCCGTGATCAGGAAAGGAATTGGAAAAGGGCTTGTAACCAATCAGAGGAGAGGAAAAAATCTGATCGTGTTTTTAATGAGGCCGCTCTTTTAATTTACATCGCCATCATGTACTGCGTCGTGTAATCTAACCTTGGTTTTTTATGTGCACATTAAGGTTCCACTGCCCTGTAGGGGGGAAAAAAGAGGCCAAAATATATCTGCAGGAATTTGATGCAGGTATTGATTAGCGCCGGTGACTCAACAATTACTTTGCCAGAGGATTCGATTTCTTGTTCTCCAAACTCACTTCACTGCCTTCTGAATTTTAACATAATTCAGCGTGTGCAGCACCTTTCAGCGTACGTTACAGGAACATGTTGTCCAATGTGATTTTCCCCCCTCGAAGCCGCCTGCACACATCACAGAAAGTGTAACGGAAACTGTTTTCATCGCTCCTGTCACATGTGTGTATTAGCGGAGCCTTATTGCAGCATATTGCAGGCAATCTTCCAGATCGTGTCATTATCAGCTGCAACCTGCTGACAGGTGAAGCAGCAGCTGGCGGCTGTGGGAGGAGGTCAGGAGATATGGGATTCACTTTATGGAGCTGTAAATTACCTCCGAGCCTCCACCATATGATTACATTGTGTAATGATGCTGCAGCGAGCGAGTCTCTGAATGAACACTGAGGTGTGGATGAAGTTACTTTAAATCACTGCAACAACAACGCAGTGTGGGAACGTTTCCTCAGAGTGATTTAACCATGACGGTGATATCACTGAGGATTAACTGTGAGCTTTTGTATTTGATTGTTATTGTTGGATTATGAGGCTCTCCATTGGAAAAAAAAAAAAAAAAAAGGGAATAAGTCATAATTATCTCCAGTGAGGGGATTTTGTTTTTCTGACGTTTGTTTGTTGGCAGGATTAAGGAAACTACTTCCTGCTTCGTCAGTAAATGTGGTGAGGTGAATCTGACTTAAGTGAAGATTTCTCTCTTGTTAACGTCGTTTGTAGGGATGCACAGATGCGGTTGATATCGACCCTGTTGACTGACATCGGGACATAATTCTGCATGAACCGATGTCAGAACCCGATGTTTGTTTGTTGGGCCAATTAAATGTAATGCTGGCATCTATCGCAGCTAACAAAAGAACATGTTTTTATTGAGGATAAAGTCACATGTTGGACAAACTCTGACTTGTTTTTATTGTCTAAAATGAGAGAAAAAGTCGGCATTGTGGGAGTCTGACGTCATGAAACAAACATCGGTATCGGCAATCAATCTTCTCCAGCTTCTCCAGTTGTTTTGCATAACATCTGTCGGTTGTACAAGCTGTCACTGATGATTTTTTGATGGTATTGTTTCAGTCTAAGTTTTTGTTATTTGACCATATGTTGATGAAAATGTATTTTGAATGGAAAAATGTTTGGAATACAAAATGAATGAACATCTAAAATGATGATATCACAGCGTGGCACGACCACATTATCAGGTATACTCTGCAATGATTGATTTAGTTTATTCTTTTTATTGATGTTTGAATTGCGACCTGCAGAGGGACTGCAGATCGTAAACTAGCTCTAAGCTAATTCTGGTACAATGCATCAAATGGCAATATGAGTGGGGAATCATGGGACTGATTCTCTCTGTTTAAAAGTTCTATTTTGTAACAAAAAATGGAAAATAAATGTTAGGATGTGAATGTAGAGCTCCTGTAAAAAAAAAAAAAAAACAAGACCTTAAATAATTATCACTCTTCATAGCCTATAAAAACAGTCCAGACCATTAAAGAGCTTCATTTTACATTTTTACATGACAGCAGGAGAAGATTTTAATTTATAACAACACTTGCACATGAACTGGAAAAGATCAGCAAAGAGATGTGATGGACTGCTTTATCCACAGGGGGTGCCAAAAACGACAAAATAAAAGTCTCTCATAGGGGCTTTCAGATTTAAAAAAAAAAACTGAAAGAGATTTTTATTTAATTTGAATAATTTGGTCGGATTTTGATGTTGCACAGAAGAGTGCTGCTTTGAATGTTAAAACGTTTGTACTTTTCTTATACGATGACATCATCTGGGACAAATTCCTGAGCGTTTCATGATATTTTAAAAATTCTTCAACCAGCTAGAATTAAATCTAAAGCCTCTCCTGGCATTTTTCATCCTCAACTTTATCTCCATTTTTGATGAATTAGTGGAAGATTTTCACAATTAATAGTTAAATTGTCGAGTCTAATCAACATTTCTTCCCACCTTGAAAAAAAAATATATATATATCTGATTAATATCATAATCACAGCATAAAACAGGAGTTATCCCGGCGTCTTGCCAGCATGGTGTCAATCTTGAGGTGTGACAGGCAGGCAGGTAATCAGCAGGTCCCTGCTGCAGCGCCGGCTAATCTCAGCATGGAGGACACATAGTGGCCGTGTGAATTAGTAGTTCGACCATGTGGAAGTGGAGGTGTGTGCGAGAGAAGATGGATGATGTGTTCCTGTGTGTAAGTGCCTGCCTGTGTGTGTGTGTGTGTGTGTGTGTGTGAGTGTGTCCTGTAGATGTGACAGTGATCTCTGATCAGTATTCACCGCTGGCAACAGATCTCAGAAGCTTCCAGGCTCCGAGCACAGCCATCTGGGCAGAGGAGAAACACACGCAGACACACACAAATTATTATACAGTACCACACACACACACACACACACACACACACACACACAGAAACACACAAATTCACATCAGAGCTGAAATCTCACAAAAAAGCTTCCATGCAAGACACGACAGGACAGCCACACACGCACAGGCAAATTCACACATCAGCATTTTTTTGACAAATTAATTTGCGCACACACACACCGACACCGAGTGTGTCACCGAGACTGTCCCTACACACACTGCACGTAATTACACACACAACCCGCTCTATCTCCATAATTTGTTGGTTTACACACGCTAAACAATTATGTAGATGTGTCAACATAGACACTCATCATGCACAGTTCAAGGAACACAGAAGGGAGAAGACCACGCAGTCTTTACAACCACACACACACACACACACATATACACACACACACATACACACACACACATACACACACATACACACACTCACACATTTCAACCACACACACAAACACACACACATACACACAGACACAGACACATACACACACACACTCACTCACTCACTCATTTCAACCACACACACACACATGCACACAAACAAACACACACACACAAACATGCACACACACACACACACACAAACATGCATACACACACACGCGCACACACACACACACACACACACACACACAAACATGCATACACACACACACACACACACACAAACATGCATACACACACACGCACACACACACAAACATGCGTGCACACACACACACACAAACATGCGTACACACACACACACAAACATGCGTACACACACACACACACAAACATGCGTACACACACACACACAAACATGCGTACACACACACACACACAAACATGCGTACACACACACACACAAACATGCGTACACACACACACACACAAACATGCATACACACACACGCACACTCACTCATTACAACTACACGCGCACACATGAACATGCAGACACACACACACAAGAAAA